CCCCTGGGGCCGTTGGTTGGCGCTTCCAAGACGCCGGCGGAGGTACCCGGCCGTCGCTGCTCGTTGCCTATTGGTCCATGGCCCTGTCGCTCAACGCTCGGTTCCTGCTTCCGCTTCTTTCCTCCATTTCCTGTTAGGCGCGAGCCGAGCGAGCCGAGCGAGCGAAGCGGGGAGCGTGGACTACGAGTTTCCCGGTAAGCTAAGGTCGGGCTGTAGGTCCCCACGGGGCCTCTAGTGCTCGGAGTCCGGGGATGGGTCGGCCCTGGTAGGAAACGGTGGGAAAGCCCCGCTGCCTTGGCTCGAGAGAGTTCAAGAGCGGCTTCTGTCTCAGGAAAGGGGATCACGCATGGCGCTGCTGGGCCGGGAGGCACTTGCTAAGGACACGTCAGCCTTCAGGGCGGCGGGTGGGTGACGGTGCACGGTCCTACGGAAGGGAAATGCGAAACCAGACTCCTGCGGTTCTCGGGGAAGGGACGGGGGTGGGCTCCGCGCGCACGGAACCCAGGAGCTGCTAGAACGTGGAAGGGCTTTCGAGGAGTCCTCGAAAAGCAACTCTAGCCTTAGCCCTCTCGGTGGTAGAAAATTAACCAATCATCACTACGCTCTTCTTTTTAGCGGCCACCGTCAATTAAGTCCCCTTTATACGCTTTTGCTATTTTTTAGTGAGTCTCATTCTAGAAGTGCGCTAATGATTTAAGCATTCCGAAGAGGTGCGCACAAAAACTTGTATGTACACTTACGGAAAATGAGTAGTTGGTGGATTTATACATTACTGACTTGTTATTTTCCTATACTTATAAAGTACTTATCAAAATGTTTGAATCTATTTTAAATATCTCAACAGTTTCCATCGTACAGACACCTCTACTGCCAAGATGGTGAATGTGCCTAAAAACCGAAAAACTTTCTGTAAGAAGTGTGGAAAGCATCAGAATCACAAAGTGACCCAGTATAAGAAGGGGAAGGATTCCCTGTACGCCCAGGGAAAGAGGCGCTACGATAGGAAGCAGAGTGGTTACGGTGGGCAGACAAAGCCGATTTTCCGAAAGAAAGCGAAAACTACAAAGAAGATTGTGCTGAGGCTTGAATGTTCGGATCCTAACTGCAGATCAAAGAGGATGCTGGCCATTAAGAGATGCAAGCATTTTGAACTGGGAGGAGATAAGAAGAGAAAGGGCCAAGTGATACAGTTCTAGCTTTTATTTTTGAGAAGAAAATGTTAAAGCTGTAGAAAAATTACCTGTATGAAAATAAATGCAGTGATATTCTTACTCATATCTTTTGTGTTTTTTGAAATACAGAATTTCATGTTTAATGTGGTTATAAATTAAGGAAATAAGAGTAAATTTGTAAGTGAATCCTCTTCAAATTATTCAACTTAATTCCATAAGAATTGAAAATTTTTATTTATATTTAAAGGTAAGAGTCCCACCTCAAACTTAATAGCAGGGAAAATATTGGTACTTTATCTGATCAATTTCAAATATATGTTGGGTGAATTTACAATCATGATTGATGAGCTGCTGGGAAAACTAAGATTTTGAAAAATGAAGAGGACAAGCTAAGCCTGTTACGTATAGCAGACTGAGTGGGGCAGAGGATCTAAGGGGATAAAAACGTACTTTTTGCAAACGTACTGTAGTAGGAACCACTGGCCACATATAACTACTTAAATTTAAAAGGCAGTTCCTCAGTTATACTAGCTATATTTAGAATTAACATATGGTTAGGGGCTACACTATTACACAACATGGATACAGAATACTTCCCATCAGTTTTTGGACAGCATTCTTTAGGTCTTGAATGTAAGGTAGGAGTTGAAAACTGACTTCTACCTAAAATTCTGAAGCTAGTAAAAAAAAAAAACCCTAAGTCTGCCAAGCTAGTGTGGGTCAGTGGTTGAGCACTGACCTATGAACCAGGTCAGGATTCCATTCCCAGTTAGGGCACATGCCCATTGCGGCTTCCATCCCCAGTAGGGGCCATGCAGGAGGCAGCCAATTAATTTACATCAGTTTCCAACACTCACTCCCTCTTTTCCTCTCTGAAATCAAACTTATCAAAACAACCCATAAGTCTATGATACCATGAACTTTTTGGTTTTATAACATACTATAATTGAAGTTACATGAATGTGGTCTCTCATAACTAATAGCTACACTAAGAATGGCCCACAATTTTAAAACCATTATTTCTGGAATTTTTCCATTCAATATTGTCAGATCTTCACTGACCATGAGTAACTAAAACTGCAGATAAGGGTACTCTGAGATGTACTCAAATGTTTTAACTTCTTGACTGTTGGGAAGGTTGAGAAGGTAAGCAGATAAGATTGAAAATAGAATGGAATGTGGAAACTCCAGAAGTGAACCTAGTCATTGTCTATGAAAGGCAAGGAAGAAACAAGTTGAGTATCAAATGAAAGGAAAAACTGGGAAAGGATATAGGTTATGAGAAGAGGGCAAGAAATTCTGCTTTTTATATTGGCAGCTAGGGTATTTATATGGGATGGTTTGTAGATGAGTAAGACAGGCAAAGGACTAGGGTGTAGGAGTATGATGGTTAATACTTATTCCCAACATTGACTATTATGTCTGCATTTGTTAATGAAAAAATAATTGTTTTTCTACAAGAACATAAAATTCAGATATGCACAAATTTTAAATATGCCATAAAACATCACCTTAAGGAACCATGTTGTTTTTTTAATCCTCACCAGATATATTTAGGCATGTTTGCATTATATATAATTTTTTAAAATAAAAAAACTAGAAATTATATATGAAGATTTTTTTCAGGAAGAATTTAAGTACTAGCAATACAAATTTAAGGTCATCCAAAGAATTACTCCTCTGGACCAAGATCGTCTCAAAGAATCAGCTCTGAGTAGAAATTTTAGAATTCATATACATAAAGTTTTAATAAAAATTCAAAACAGTATTCGCTCAAGAATATTTGCATTTTCAGGGTGAAAAAATGCCCCAAATAAATACTTTAGGAAGACAATGGAGGTTATGTAAGTCATAAAAAATAGTCATATAGCCCGGCTGGCATGGCTCAGTGGTTGAGAGTCGACCTATGAACCAGGAGGTCACGGTTCGATTCCCGGTCAGGGCACATGCCTGGGTTGCAGGCTCCATCCCCAGTGTGGAGCGTGCAGGTGGCTGCCAATCCATGATCCTCTCTCATCATTGATGTGTCTGTTTCCCTTTCTCTCTGAAATAAATATAATTTTTAAAAAAAGAAATAGTTATATAGACTCCACCTATAACTCCAAGCCCAAAGCAGCAATAATATACTGCTGGAAAAGTTTTTCTCCAGTAACTTTTACTCTTTATCCTCCTTTGTTCTGAGAAACTAATTATGGGACTACTAGGGGCCCAGTGCACGAATTCGTGCACCTTGAAAGGAACTGTGGGCCACAAGGCTGCAGTAGGCACAGGGGCGGGTATTGGCCCATCCTCCGCACCCCTCTCCTCCTGCCGCGGCCCCGTCACTGATGCCGCTCCCACACACTAACAGCACCAGTCCCGCTCGCACCCGCTGAAGGTGTGGAGTAATTGGGGCCGGCACCGTCAGTGGGTGCAAGCAGCAGCTGCTGCCCCGATTGCCCCTCAGGAGCAGGAGGAGGTAGAGAAGCCCTGAGGGGCAGATACGAGTGCTGGACGGGACTACGGCACACAGGAGCAAAGAATTTTCAGTAACCACCAGAGGCCCGCCCCAATGACAGCAACCACGCCCCGCCTTGGTCTGGTGCCCCTGCTCACCTGCTCCACCATCCCACCGTGGCCGACACCCGCCATGTTCCGCGCATGCCCCCTGGTGGTCAACACACATCATAGTGACCGGTTGGTTGTTCCACCATTTGGTCTATTTGCATATTAGCCTTTTATTATATAGGATTATAATGATCTAGGGGAGAGGTTGATTTAAGAAAGGCAGGGGAATGAACAGAAGGAACAGTTCTAGGGATTCCAGACTGTTTCAAGTTGGTTACTTTTCTATTCTCTCTGTCTTAACTTCAAACCCTCCTCATCCTTTAGTTGGTGTATGGCCACCACTCTTTACATTTAAAAAACTTAAACATATTAAGTGACTAAAATAATAAACAGAAAAAGAACCCTCAAATAACACAAGATAATGTCAGTAAAAAGTAGCACTTTTCTGCTCCTCTCACCCAACCAAAAACCTTGCTCGAATTCTAAAAATAATACTTAGAAATACAACAAAGATTATGTGATTAACATTATAAAACTTATAAAAAGCTGAAGTCTTTCCCAAAGCAACTCCTACCTTATACTTGGTGAATGTGAAATTCTATATATAGAATAGGTGGTATAACTTAAAAACTTACATACCAAACAAGTTTTCACTATAATTTAGACCAGTGGTTCTCAACCTTCTGGCCCTTTAAATACAGTTCCGTTGTGACCCAACCATAAAATTATTTTCGTTGCTACTTCATAACTGTAATGTTGCTACTGTTATGAATCGTAATGTAAATATCTGATAGGCAGGGTGGTCTTAGGCGACCCCTGTGAAAGGGTCGTTCGACTGCCAAAGGGGTCGCGACCCACAGGTTGAGAACCGCTAATTTAGACCGTATTAATTCTCCAAGGAATATTTTCTGCATACAAAAACTCAATTTCTCTCATTTTATGAAAGAAGAAAGCTGGTAAGAAAATTCTATGACCAGAGTGATTGGGGTTACTATCTACTTAACATTAAAAGATAACCCCACAACCTCTTCTGGACACATTACTATCTACTTAACATTAAAAGCAGCAATAATATACTGCTACTATTACTAACATTAAAAGATAACCCCACAACCTCTTCTGGACACACTAGGCTAAAATCAACACAAGTGCAATAAACACAAAAGTTAACCCCACAATAAAATCAGATTTTAATGAAATCAAGGTTTTCCAGTCAAATTATTGAAAATGTTAGCTAACCCACATTCTTCCCCTCAAACATGTATGTATGCAAAAAAAGCTTCCCTTTCTCCAATGTGACATTGTTAAACCATAAATGAATCCCAAACTGATCTGTAATTTCTTTTCGTGGTATCATCTATTACTTTAGCATTTCACAGGAATTTGCGTAACATGACAGAGAACAGAAATAAGAAATAATGGGTGCTTCAGTGCCACCCATATTATCTACTAAGACCACAGTGTGAGCAACAGAGTGTAGATTCATGGTAGTCATTCCCTCAATAAAACTGTTTAGACAGAATCTTCCACAAACACAGGTTTTTGCAGTATCCAAATCTTGGCAAAGATGAAAAGGAATAATATGAGAGCCATATGGAATCCTATTGGGAAAAAAAGTTTTAAAAATATTTTAAAATGTTACTAGATTCAGAACTTCACATATTAGGATATGAATTATTGAACACAGAATTATAACCATAAAAAATAAAACTATTAATTAAATGACACAGTATATTGTTTTATCTTACAAACTGGGTAATGAAGAAAATATTCCAAAAAACAGCATATGATATATTATTAGAGTAACATGATAAGTTAACCATTTGTACACCATAAGCATCTATAGACGCAAGCAGCGGACCTTTTTTGTTTAAATTCAAAATATCGAGGCAGTTAACTGGTTAAATATATAGCTCTGTCATCCAATTCTCATGATGGTAACTGGAGAATTAAGGATTTCTATTTGTGAAGAAACATTTAAATAAATCGACATACTCTCCTAAGCATCAATTATTCAAAAGGAAATTTTAAACTGTGTGAAACAAATTTAAAACATTGTTTGGGGCATTAGTTTTACTTTACTGGCTGAGCAAGTAAGGCTGTCCTCACCTTGCTTAAATTATTCACCCTCCTGCTTTGCATTGGTGCCCAATGCAATGAAAATCAAGTCTAAGTCGTTGCCCTCATCTACACAAAACTAAAAGACAGTCTCTTGGTATTGCCTGCCTACTGCCCAACTTCTTCCCCCTAAATACAACAATGCCCCAGGTACTTAGTTGCCTGTATACTGCTGTTTCTATATGCTGGCACACATTAGGTGTTCAGATATTTTTCAACAAATAAATAAAACCCAGTCTTATTTCAACCAAAGTTTAAAATCCTTTTAGAAAAGTCTGAAAAGAAAAATATCAAATCAAAAATAGTCATTTACTTTTCTTAAGGAATTTGAAATTGGCCTTATTTGCAATTTTTCATTTTTTCACATGTACTTATTTGTTGCTTGTGTAAGTAACAATTTTTTAAAAACTGTGCCAGCAATTTATAATAGCTAAGATCTAGAAACAGCCCAAGTGCCCATCAGTAAATGAGAGGATAAAAAGTTCCGTGGTATATTTATACCATGGAATACCATGCAGCAGTAAAAAAGAAGGATCTCTTACCCTTTGAGACAGCATGGAGGGACCTGGACAGTATCATACTAAGTGAAATAAGTCAGTCAGAGAAAGACGTGTATCACATGATCTCACTCATATATGAAATCTAAGTAACAAAATAAACTGATGAATGGAGTGGATCCAGAGACATAGAAGCATAGAACAGAATGAGGAATCCCAGAGGGAAGGCAGGGGATGGTTGGTGGGTGGGTGGGAAGTTATCAACCAAAGAACTTGTATGCATATATGCATAACCCATGGACACAGACAATAGAATGGTGAAGACCTGAGTTAGAGGGCGGAGGCTGGCTGGAGGAGGTCAATAGGGGGAAAAGGGGACATATGTAATACTTTCAACAATAAAGAATTATATAAAAAAATCTGTGCAGGAAGTGTCTACCACATATTTACATCAATCTCATCTAGGCTACTGGTTATATTCTAAGGAAACAGATAATAGTTAGATAATAGTTAAAAACTGTATCATCAATCTAACAATTTAAATTTCCATATATTTTTCTAATAGATTTTAACTTTATATTTATAACCAGTAGGTAGAACAATTTACCAGATAGATAATAAGTATTATTCTCATGGCTTTAGGTTTATATTCTTTTTATTTTTATTTTTTTATATTTTATTGATTTTTCACAGAGAGGAAGAGAGAGGGATAGAGAGTCAGAAACATCGATGAGAGAGAAACATCGATCAGCTGCCTTCTGCACACCTCCCACTGGGGATGTGCCCGCAACCAAGGCACATGCCCTTGGCCGGAATCGAACCCGAGACCCCTCAGTCCGAAGGCCAATGCTCTATCCACTGAGCCAAACCGGTCAGGGCAGGTTTATATTCTTTTTAAAATGGGGCTGAAGCCCAGCCAGCATAGCTCAGTGTTTGAACATGGATCTATGAACCAGGAGGGCACAGTTCGATTCCTGATCAGGGCTCATGCCAAGGTTATGGGCTCGATCCCCAGTGTGCAATCCCCATTGATGTTTCTATCTCTCTCTCCCTCTCCCTTCCTCTCAGAAATCAATAAAAATATATTTAAAAAAACAACACAACAACAACAGGGCTGAAAACATGCAAAATTATACATTAGTAAAGGTTAGGGTCACTTTACAAGAACCAGTATTAATAGAGTCAAGTTTAAAAAACAATATAAATACTACATGTCAAATCATCACTAACAAATTATTTTTCTGACCTAGTTATACATCACATCTTGATCATATAATTTTTTCCCTCTAACTCTGCACTTTTCCATGTTGGATATCAGTCTGTATTTTTTAAATCATTTAGTCAACTGATTTTTTTTTTAAATATATTTTATTGATTTTTTACAGAGAGGAAGGGAGAGGAATAGAGAGTTAGAAACATCGATGAGAGAGAAACATCGATCAGCTGCCTCTTGCACACCCCCTACTGGGGATGTGCCCGCAACCAAGGTACATGCCCTTGACTGGAATCGAACCTGGGACCCTTGAGTCCGTAGGCTGACGCTCTACCCACTGAGCCAAACCAGTTAGGACGAAATCATTTAGTCAATTGATTATGGTCTTTTTAAAAAACATCAATGCCCGGACTCAGGGCAACCCGGACATGTGGCCTTACTGGGAATCAAACTAGCAACCTTGCCTAGCCCAGTGGTCGGCAAACCGCGGCTCTCGAGCGACATGCGGCTCTTTGGCCCCTTGAGTGTGGCTCTTGCACAAAATAACACGTGCGGGCGCGCAGGTACAGTGCGATTGAAACTTCGTGGCCCATGCGCAGAAGTCGGTTTTTGGCCTGGGCGAGTCTATTTAGAAGAAGTGGGGGGTGGACATATAGAGAGGATGAATGAAAGGAGATAGATGAAACAAGTATACAAGATGGGTGGATGGAAGAGTTGGAAGGGGTCGACCTCAGTGAACCTAACTCAATCAGATTGAGGACGTTTTTAGCAAAGGCCAGCTTAGGAGTACCCTAATTAAGCTAATAACAATGTACCTACCTACATAGTTTAAATTTAAAAAATTTGGCTCTCAAAAGAAATTTCAATCATTATACTGTTGATATTTGGCTCTGTTGACTAATGAGTTTGCCGACCACTGCCCTATCCGGTTTGGCTCAGTGCATAAAGTGTGGGCCTGTGGACTGAAGAGTCAATAATTTGTAATATTTCTCATTTGGACATTATTTTCAAATTTGAATAAGTTATATATGTGTGTGTGTGTGTGTGTATGTATATAATGCATGCATGCTATTATATACACACACACACACACACACACACATATTCATATAAATATTTCAGAGAAAGCCTAGAATGAGCTCGGAAGCAACTCATTACCGAAAAACGCCATTTAGAGTTTCCCTCAAATCAGTGATCTTAACCCTGAATCATCAGTATCACCATTGGAGACTTAAAAAAAATATGTAACATAGCCCAAGCTGGTATGGTTCAGTGGACAGAGCATCAGCCTGCGGACCAACGGGTCCCAGGTTCGATTCTGGTCAAGGGCACGTACCTTGGTTACAGGGTCCTCCCCAGCCCTCGACCTGGTGAGGGCTCCTGCAGGAGGCAACCAATCCATGTATTTCTCTCACATCGATGTTTCCCTCTGTCTTTCCCTCTCTCTTCCACACTCCCTAAAAATCAACGGAAAAATATCCTCAGGCGAGGATTAACAAACAACAACAAAAAAGTAACATACAACAGGGGCCCATCTCTGGCAACTCTGAATTGGTCTGAGGTAGAATCTAAGCATCAATAGTTCTCATCTGTACTATTTAAAACCTCCTCCACAGCTAAATATAACATTGATTTTTAATTGCTAGATAAGCAATTAAATGTTAACTATTTATTGAGACTTATTACGAGCCAGGCACTGTTCTAGGCACTTACATGTACTGTCATTTAGCAGGTAATGTTTAATTCCTAATTAAGAGTCAATGCCAGTGGTTCTCAAAGTGTGGTCCCTGACCAACAGCATCGGCATCTCCTTAAAACTAGTTAGAGATGCAATTTTTTAGCCCCAATCCAAATTTCGTAAGAATCCAGCAATCTGCCTTGGCTGGTGTGGCTCAATTGGTTGGGCGTTGTCCTGTGCACAGAAAAGTTGCCAGTTTGTTGTTTTTTCATATATTTTTATTGATTTCAGAGAGGGAAAGGGAGAGATAGAAACATCAATGATGAGAGAGAACCATTGATAGGCTGCCTCATGCAACCCCCTACTGGGGGAATCGAGCCCACAACCCAGGATGTGCTCCTGACCGGAATTGAACCCGTGACTCTTCAGTCCACAGGCCCACACTATCCACTGAGCCAAACCAGCTAGGGCAAGGTTGCTAGTTTGATTCCCAGTAAGGGCACATGTCTGGGTTACCCTCAGTCCCTAGTAGGGGACATACAAGAGGCAGCTGATAGATGTTTTGCTCACACTGATGTTTCTTTCTCTCCCTCTCCCTTCTTCTCTCTAAAAACCAATTTTAAAATATTTTTCAAAAAATAATCCAGCAGCCTGCTTTAATAACCATGTATTTCAATAAGTTTAATTCTGATGCACTCTCAAAATTTAAGAATCTTAGAAATAGTGAGTTCTTAGTTACTTTTAGAGCTTTTAGTATTCAAAATGTGATTCATGGATTAGGAGCCTGAGTCTCACTAGGAAGCTTGTTTGAAAGGCAGAATCTCTACCCTAGACCTCTGAAACAATCTGCTAACAAGACTCCCAGGTGATTTGAATGCACATTAAAGTTTGAGAAGCACTGATGTTAAGTAGTGGTTTTTAATCATAGCTAGTTGTACACAGAATCACCTGGGTTTAAAAACAAAGCAAAAAATACTGGATTCTACCTATAGACATTCTGATTAGTAAGTCTAGGGTGGGAACTAATCATCAGAATTTTTAAGCTCTTCAGATGATTCCAAATGTTAAGTAAAGTTTGAGAACCACTGCTCTAAAATAAGAATTCTTAAGCTATGGACTGAGAGGAAGGAGGATTGGATTTCAATGGGGTCCATGAACATTTTAAAGTTGTATGCAAAATTTTGTGTATACTCATGTGGATTTTTCTAGGACCATAATTTTGGTCAGTTGTTTTTATTTTCTTTTTAAAATTTTTTTAAATTTACTTTCAGAGAGAGGGGAAGGGATAGGGAGGGGGGAGGGGGGAGAGAGGAAGAGAGAAACATCAATGTGAGAGCAAAACATGGATGGGCTCCGGGAATCTAGCCCACAACCCAGGCATGTGCCCAACCCAGAATTGAATTGGCAACTCTTCAGTGCATGGGACGGGATGATGCCCAACCGAGCCACACCAGCCAGGGCAGTTTTTTTTTTAGTTTTAAAGAGTCTCTCCCCAACTAAAAAAATTAAGAATCTCTTCTTTGAAATATGGTCTTGCTACTATTTTATAGGCACTCAATAATGAAAGAAGCATCAACAAAACTGAATGAATACCTGAAGTTCCTTGTCTCACAAAACTAACTTCAGTTAGTGTACAAAGGGAAAAGAATCAACAGCTATTGAGTCCTATTATATGCCAAATGCTTTGGCATTACATTAGCTCATTTATCTTCACAACTCTGTTCCCGTTTCAGATGGGAACACTGAATCAAAGAGATTAAATAACTTGCTAAAGTCTGACTCCAAAGACCACACTTTACCACTATACCAGTTTAGAGTTATCAAACTTTAGAGTGCATCAGAACTACCAGGAGGATTTATTAACAGTTTCCAATTCAGTAGGTCTGGAGTGAAGTTCAAGGACTTGCATCTCTAACAAATTCCTATGTGATATTGATGCTGCTGGTCAGATCACAGTTTGAAAAACAATGCCATTTTTTCAAGCATTTATTAAGTGCCTAATATATGGCAACAGCGGAGGTATCTCATTTTAGACACTAGAGAAAGAGTGGAAAATAAGACAAAGTCCACGCCCTCATGGAGCTTACAGTCTAGTGGAGAAAACTGACAGAAAACAAATGTTAAAAAAAGTAATGCCAGGTAATACATCCTATGACCCCCCAAAAAAGGCAACGTAAGGAGTGGAGGATAAACCTTTAGATAGGGCCATAAAAGACCTTTCTGGGGTGCCACTTGGCAGAGAACTGGATGAAGTGAGAAAGTAAGCTATGAGACTTTCTGGAGGAAAAGCATTCCAAGCAGAGGTAAGGAGTAGCAAGAAGGCCACCATAGCAAGGGGTCAGATTGTGCACAGAGCTATGGTTAAATACTTACTAGTAGTCTAAGGATGATGACAACACTAGGATGCCATCAAAAGTACCACATTTTATGACTACCAAAGTCTTACCTATTATGTAATATGGTTCGTGCAGAAGATTCCAATAATGTTAATGGTGTTTGCAGCATTATAACTGGAAGAACTTTTGGCTGTTCAAAAGTATTTCCAAAAAGATCCAAGTACCCAAGGGACAAATTTTTAAATTCACTAGGCAAAAATGGGAGCTTATTTCGAGCTGCTGACAAAAATTGCAGGTTTGTCAATTGTCCTATCTTCATAGGAAATCGAATCAATTCATTATCATCAAGTTTTAAAACTGTAAGTTCTCGGAGCTGGCAAAACTGCACAGGGAGTGCCTTAATTTTGTTCTTGCTCAGATCCAAACTCCGAAGTGATTTCTGGAGTGTAGATTGACACAATGCCACACTAAATGACTCCAAGTGATTGTTACTCAGGTTGAGTTCTTGAAGGTGGATGAGGTCTCCAACCGTAGCTGGTAGCTTTTTTATATGATTGTGACTCAAGTCTAATTTCTTAAGGTTTTTTAAGCAAAGCATACGCATATCAACTCGGACAAGCCCACAATAAGAAGTCTGAAGATGTTCCAGATAATATGGAAAGTTCTTGCTTAGAGGATAGTCCTTTTTGGATGTGATGACCATTTTAGTTTTAAATTTTTCAAATTCTGAAGTCTTCACCGGTGTGAGGGGTGAAAATGGTGTCTCAACATCACAGCCTCTATGAGCCAGTCTCACAGCTGAAAGGAAACTCTTTAAATTGCTGGAATTTGCCTGAATAAATAAAAATAAGTTGTACAAGTATAAATTCCATTTTAGATAATGCATGCATGCTAATTCATCCTATAACAAATTCTGTAGAGTTATATATGCAAATGATGCAATTATTACTGAAAATGGCTATAAAAATAATTTTTTAGTATTCTATTTTGACTAAATTTCAATATAGATACAAAACCTTTAAGGTGTTTTTTTTAAAAAAATGTTGAGAGACACACTCTAAATAAAACTGTTCAAAGGGGGAACCATAGAGTATAAAATAAAATAGAAAAGCATAAAAAAATTCCACCTGAGATTTGGGTTTAAGATGAACTCACCCAGACCTCCAGTGCCCCTGCGATAGGCTAAGACAGCCCTGTGCACTGTAAAATGTACAGGGGTTCCATTCATAAAGATTAAGAGTTGTGAAAAGCCATGGCCTTGTCTATCAAAAGCAGGGCTAAATGGCACTGTCAAGAGTGTAAGGAAATATCAAAATCAAGTGAGATTGCTTCCAACTGAACAGAGAAATCACCAATCAAGTGGTATATGAACTATCATCAAGCCCTAGCTGGTTTGTCTCAGTGGATAGCGTCAGCCTGCAGACTGAAGGGTCCCAGGTTCGACTCCGGTCAAGGGCACATGCCTGGGTTGAGGGCTCCATCCCCAGTGTGGGGTGTGCAGGAGGCAGCTGATCAATGATTCTCTCTCATCATTGATGTTTCTGTCTGTCTCTCTCTCTCTCTTTCTCTCTCTCTCTCTCTCTCTCCCTTCCTCTCTGAAATCAATAAAAATATATATTTAAAATAAATAAATAAAAATAACAAACACTTGGCAGGATACTTTACGAGTTTTCTAAAGTTTACGTGTGAAGAAATAGGGAACTTTAAGTGTGCGAAACGAAGTATGCAATCCTATTTGGTTAGAATGAGGGAGCTTGGTAGAGGAGTAAAAGATTAGAAATACAGTATGGGGCTAGATTCTAGATGAGCTTAATGTCAAGGTAAGGACAGAATGATCAGGCTGTGGGCAATCACTGAAGCATTTGAGCACGAGAATTACATAGAGCTTAGTATTATTTTGGCAGTAGTATACAGTGAAGTAGAGTGAGAAAAATCTGGAGACCTTGGTCAAGTAGGTCTAATAGACGGTACCAACTTACAGACTTGGAAGTTACATACAATCCGGGTTGAGCTATGGGAATGGAAGGCAGGTATGGCAGAAAACTGGAATAAAGCCTTTATTTGGGGGACAGAAAAAAGGTTGTCAGAGATTAGAGACAAAGGAGTGGCTAAAGGTAAATCAGGACAGTGTCCTGTCACAGATGCCAAGAAAGGAGTTTTATTAAGAAGGAAATGGTCATTAGTGTTAAATTCTGGAGCTAAAAAAAGTGAGGAAAAAAATGGCAATGTGTTTGGCAAATAAAAGGAGATCACTGATCTTTGAGGCAGTGTTCTGAATACACCAGTGAAAATAAAGGTAAAAACAGATCCTAAGAAAAGTGGAGGCAACAGATTTAATCTTGTCTTTCCAGAAATTTGTTTATCCAATTTTTAAGTAGGTAAGACTTCACTTGTTTCTTAGGTAGAAGAAAAGAGTTAGTGCCCTAGCCAGTTTGGCTCAGCGGATAGAGTGTCGGCCTGTGGACTGAAAGGTCCCAGGTTGGTTTCTGATCAAGGGCATGTACCTCGATTGCAGGCTTGATGCCAGCCCCTGGTCGGGGCTCAAGTGGGAGGCAGCCAATGCATGTGTCTCTCTCACATCGATATTTCTCTTGTTCTGTCTCTCCCCCTCACTTCTATTCTCTCTAAGAATCAATGGAAAAATATCCTTGGGTGAGGATTAACAAAAAAACAAACAAAAAAGAATTAGTAGGATAGGCTGAACATCAAGTGAAAATGAAAAATCACAAGAACAAAAGGAGGTAGGACAAAATGATTCCATTCAACACAAATACCTTAAAAAGTTATTAAACTTTTAATGTTTGCAAAGCATTTTGCTTGGGGTTAAGGATAATGCAAGGATGAATAAGACATTGCTCCTACCCTCTAGGAAAGGGGAAAACAAAAAAAGGGGAGATAGGACCAAGAAACAGTCTTTTTTTTGTTCTAATGGTCTATATAGTTTTAAAAATAATTATAATAATAAAATACCCCCAACAAGGTTCTAATTGCATTTTATCCTTTTTTCCCCCCACTAAACTTAGACTTATAACCTATAATTCAGCTGGCAAAATGTAGACCTGTGCCACCTTCCTTAAGAGCTCCAGTGTAAGAACACTGGAAGGCTGCATTTTGGATACAGAAGCAAACTTAGTTTTCCTCCCCATCCTGGGCAGCCTTACCAAGGCTGCCTCTGCCCTTTTAGAGGAATATACTGGTAAGCACTCCTTGGAAGCTGCCATCACTTCTTCAAATACATCTGCAAGAGTCCGGCCCTGTTCAGCTATGTGAGATATCAGGATGCTCAAATAGCCTCTTTTATTTTTGGTCAATCCTCACCATATTTTTTCCATTGATTTTTTTTTTTTTTGGCGGCGGGTGCAAGAGAAACATTGTGAGAGGGACACATCGATTGGTTGCCTCCCACACGAACCTCCACAGAGACTGGTTATTAAGCCTGCAACCAAGATATGTGCCCTTGACCCTTCAGTCCTCCATTGTTGTTCTAATCACTGAGCCAAACCAGCTAGGGCTCAAATAGCCTCTAATTTAAAGAAAATATAGCCAATCAACCTAAACATTAATGTTTTTAATATCGTACCTTACTTAGGCAGATATCCACAGCAGGTTCCTTTAACCGAACAGTGGCTTTCCCCTCATCCACAAATTTGGTGAAGAATTGCTCAATGTTCTCCTTTAGCTGCTTAAAACCAATGGGAAAAAAGAACAAAATCAAGTATTGTTACTCAATACTAGTAGTTATTACAAATAGGATGTGCCAGTCATTTTGTCAGGTTTGTCTGTTAGTCCTTATGTATGGGTATTTTACAGTTTTAAGCTTTAAAGTTTTTTGTTTGGTTGGGTTTGTTTTTAGTAGTTGGGTAGCTACATTTCTTATCTACCTTCTGATAGATACTATTGTTCTATCAGTCCAGTTAACTCTGTCCTCTTCTGAGAACAGAATCCCCTGTGTTTTGAGAGAATATTCCTCTTCTCCCATTCCAACTATGTAGCTGTAATGAGTTGCCAAGAGTAATTACTTGCCTTTTAAATTTCAGTTCATTAGTCTGGGGTGGGCAAGCCTCCCACAAGATTACAAACTCCATGAAAACAGGAATCTTGTCTCCTTTGTTCATTCTTGTATCCTCAGAGCTAGACAATGACTAACACATAACAGATGCTCAAAATATTTTAATGACTGATGTTGCTTCTGCTTTAGACTTCAACAACAATTTATCCAGAAGCCATTATATACCAGGTTAACTATGATAGGGGGCTTGGGACAATAGAGGTGAATAAGACCAGCATGGTAATCACACTTACACAGTTGCCAATCTGACATTTATTAAAATAATTATAAGCAAAATTAAGACAAATATATAAGCAATTATTAAGACAAGGAAGTACAGGCTGCTATAAAACCTTATATAGCAAAGAAATCTTACCTGGTCTTAGGATATGAAGGTGACCTTGAAGGTGAGAACTAAAGGATTAGGACATGTCTAGAAGAGATACAAGATAGCTTACCAATAAGAGGGAACAATGTGCAAAGCCTTGAAAGCAAGAGAGCTTGGCAGCTGTGAGGAGCTAAAAGTTCAGTATGGCTGAAGGATCCCGTGAAAAAAGGTAAGTGAGCCTGAAGAGGTAAACAGATTAAATGGTGAAAGATGTTTTATACCATGTTAAGAATGCTGTGGGCGTTTTTGTTTTGTTAATCCTTACTCGAAGATATTTTTCCCATGGATTTTTAAAGAGGGAGAGAGGGAGGGAGGGAGGGAAAGAGAAACATTGATGTTACACATTGATTGGTTGTGCGTGCTCAACTGGGACTGGGGATCAAACCTGCAACCCAAGTAAGTGCTTTTGACTGGGAATCAAACCCATGACCCTTTGGTACATGGGCCTATGCTCTAACCCAGGGGTGAGAAAGATCTGGCCTGCTGGGCCATATAAAAGTCTCGAAATCATTTGGTCTGACCCTGCCAAGGCATTAAAGGGTGAGTTAATTAAATGTTTACCAAATATAGCATGCTAATTTATAAGTTGATAATTTTGTATGACCCATGAATGATGTTATAAAATGGCTCTTGACAGAAAAAAGGTGCCCATCCTGATCTAACTACTGAGAAACACTGGCCAGGACAAGAATTTTATATTTTGGCCCTAGCTGGGTAGCTCAGTTGGTTAGAGCATCATCCAGATACACCAAAGTTTCGGGTTCAATCCCCAGTCAGGGCACATACAAGAATCAACCAATGAATGCAAGTAAGTGGAACAACATATCGTTCTCTCTCTCTCTCCCTCCCTCTCTCTTTAAAATAGATAAATAAAAATTAAAAAAAAAAAAAGAATTTTGGGTTTATCCTAAGAACAATGATATCCATTGAATGACTTTAAGCTGAGAACATCATTAGATCTGTATCTTTACAGGTTCCCTTTAACCACAGGGTAAGAATGAACTTTGGGGGATTGGGGGGTGGGGGATGAAGAGTAGGAGGGAAGGACAACAATAGAGGTAGAGCAATCCTTTAAGAGAGTAGCTAGGCAAGGTATAATGATGGTTTAGACTACAACTGGGATAGATGAAAATGTGAAAGATAACTAGGAGGTAGAATTGAAAGGATTCAATAATATATTGGATGCAGAGAGGCAAAGGCTTTAAGATTTCTGCATGGGGCAGAATACTACTTAATGAGTTGTAGAGCACTGTCAGAAAAGCAAGTTTAGTGGTGACAATGACAATTACTGTCTAGGTCAGCGGTTCTCAACCCTTTGGGGGTCGAACGACCCTTTCACAGGGGTCGCCTAAGACCATCGGAAAACACATATATAATTACATGTTCTTTTTGTGATTAATCACTATGCTTTAATTATGTTCAATTTGTAACAATGAAAATACATCCTGCATATCAGATATTTACATTACGATTCATAACAGTAGCAAAATTACAGTTATGAAGTAGCAACGAAAATAATTTTATGGTTGGGGGTCACCACAACATGAGGAAGTGTATTAAAGGGTCACGGCATTAGGAAGGTTGAGAACCACTGGTCTAGGTATTTTGAGGTTGAGATGCTGCAACACATCCAAGTGAAGATTTCAAGTAGACAACAGATTCAAGTCAGAAGTTAAGGGATTTATACATTTATCTGGATAAGATGAAAAGTATGTTTCTCACTGCTCTTCTAAGATCTATTCCTTCTGATGACCACCATTTGCTGCCCTCCACCAATATGTCATGCAGATTTAGAAAGTCAGATGTGAGTCATAACTATTTCTGTGGAGGAAAAAAGCTAAATGTTGTTCAGCATTTTTTTTAAGTGAAAAAAGAATATGAAAAAAGTGTGCCACAGTGGGCAAATATCCCATCACACACACACACACCCCTTTAAGATACGATTGTCCGCCCTTATCTAAGGGGGAGATACATTCCAAGACGCCAAGTCAATGTATGGAACAACAGAGACTGGCAAACTCATATAATGTTTTTTCCTATGCATACATACCTACGATAAAGTTTAAATTCTAAATTAAAAACAATAAGAGATTAACAACAATAACTAATAATAGAACAATAATCATTTTTTAAAAAGAAAGTTAAAGGAGAAGACTGGCTAAAGGTACAAATTTGGACATCACAGTCGGATGGTAGCTGAAGTCATGGGACAAAAAAGTGAGTGTAAGAAAGAAGCCCATGGTATTTTCCATACTTAGCACAAATACCTACCCTTCAAGGCCCAGGACCAATACCAGCACCCCCTTAATTCATCCAAAAAACATTTACTGAGCACCTATGATTTTCCAAGCCCTGTGGTACCTCTCTTCTGCAAAACTTTCCCAAGCCCCAGTAATCAGAATTCATCTCGTTGCTTCCACTTTTATTACAGCACTTATCGTAGCCCATCTTGTAAGCAGTGGTTTTTTTTCCTCCTTTCTAATCTCAGAAGGACAGTGAGTAAATCAAAGTCAAGTACTCCCAGTACTTTATCTCCCAGTTTCTAGCACTGCACCCTGTGCAAAATAAGTCTTCAATTCGCAGTTTATAATAAAATTTTGATTAGGATTTCCTCCTGCAATTGACTGTTGGTGCAATAGGAGGTTACTTTTTAAAAATATGTTTTTATTGCTTTTAGGAAGAGGAAGGGAGTGGGAGAAACATCTAAGTACCCCAACTGGGGACCATAACCACAACCTGGGCATGTGCCCTGGTCAGGAATCAAACCGGTGACCTTTTGGTGCACAGGATGATGCTCAACCAACTGAGCCACACTGGCAAGGGCACAACAGGAGTTTTAAGAGAGACATCATCAGACTTTAAACAGGCAGTACCTGAGTGAGGCATGAAAGAGAGGCCTGGGGAGATCCAATTCTAGTTATGAGTTTGTTTTTGTCACCTAACAATTTTGTAAGCTTTACAATGTTGGGAGATTTCCAAAGTCCTGTCGATTTGAAAAATGATGAGTTGATTCTAGCAACAGGAGGCAATTATTCACTTTCAACTATTTACATGAAGCACTAGGTGTCTCTGAACGAGACTGTAATATTCCGCAATTAAATATCCGCTGTGGAGTACAACACTATAAGGGAGTCCGATGTAAGGGTGGGCAATGAATTGCACCCTCGACTTTACTTATAGACACAGGGTAGTCCGGTCACTTTGACAAAATAATAGTGCCTGGTAATGAAGGAGAAAGATTTTATAAAGCCTGTGTTTTAAAAATTCTATTTCAAGATCAACCACCTTGTATGCATATATGCCTAACCCATGGACACAGACGACAGGGTGCTGAAAGCCTGCGATGGGGCTGGGGGCGGGCTAGAAGGGTCCATCGGGGGAAAGGAGGACATATGTAATACTTTTGACAATAAAGATTTAAGACTTTCTAAAAATTATATTTCAACCTCCAACTGCTTCTAGAGAGTTTACTACCGCTACACAGGTAAGAAAAAGCCCTGGACCTATGAAATAAGGTCTTAGAAAATTACACATTTAAGGAGAGGGAGAGAGGGAGAGGGGGAGAGAGGGAGAGAGAGAGAGATGCAGTAACCAACGTAAAAAAAAAAAGAAGATGCAACCCAACGCGTTACTGCTTCACTACTGTACTGATCTGGTCTAGAGACCTTCGATACGATTCATCATCCCTTAAAGCCCCTTTTTTTAAGCTAGCGAAAGTTCTGCGGAAGAAACAGAATTGATTGAACGGAAATACAGTTATTTTACTCTCCCCCCGAAATGAATGACTCCTGTGAACTCGAAGTCGCAGAAATGAGCAAGAGAACAGCCACGGGCGCCCTCCCAGAGCCCTCCTCCTGGGGCTGGGCGGGGCCCCGGGAACGCGTGGGGCGCCC